GTGTGTGAGGATGCTGTCTGTGTGTGTGTGTGTGTGTGTGTGTGTCCCATAGCCAATTTAATGCTAAAATGGTAATTATATGATGTCTGGTAATGGATCACATCACAATAACAAGAGTGTGTGTTGATAAATGATGGCATATTCTGCATACTTTTCTGGAGTTGTCTGGTCGCGGTGATATCCTCCAGATCAGCTCACTTCCTGCAATCACCTGCACTGTCTCGGCTTCTGGAGGAGGCATTTCATCCGGCTCCTCAGCCGCATTATTACTCTGCAAAAGACCCAATGTGTACAGCACATTACAATAGACATTGATTAATTTTAATAAATGCCACAAATTAAATGTCAAATCAAATGCAGGTGGTATGATCGTGATCATTATCAGTCACCTGTGTGCTTCCCTTCCTGTCCTTCTCAGAGCGCTTTGTGTCAGATTTTCTGTGAGCACCAAATGTCGCTGGATCCACAGAATACAAGCACTCCGTCCACTTGCCATACAGAGCACATATCTTTCTTTTGCTGGACAGATATAAAGAAAATGTGGCCATTTACTGATGTACATTTATTTACGCTTTTGGTAACATTTTAGATGTCTTAAGCGAACACAAGTAACTAAGAGTTTTCAGTCAAAACACTAATTTGCTGCTTATTGATAGTAAGGTAGTTGTTGTAGTAGTTATGTGTAAGGGAAACAGGTCAATTTAGCTCAAAGGGAATTATTTTTTATCTTATAGGGAATTTGAACAGAATCACTGTTTTACGGCTGATCAACTGAATCGGACAGTATTGATTGATAGAAACGTTTAAAAAGCATGAATTTTCAAACTCATACATACCCAACATGAATATAATCCTATAAGCTCTTCAATAGTTTTTCAAAATACATACACAATGAGTGATTAGAACATGATAGTCAAATGTGCGGGTTACATACATGATATGGAGTTAAGCAATGGACTGGTGTTCGTTTATAAGTCCTTTTGAGATCATTTTGGTGCATCTACATCCAGGGGCGGACTGGGGCTAAAAAGTGGCCCTGGACTTTTTGGCACCGAGCGGCCCACCACACCATAACCATAACACGGTTATATGTGGATGCGCACTAATATTACGTCAGAGTCCAGCTGTTTGTGTCGTCATCAAACCAAGATGCTCCACAACATGCTGTGCATGTTTATGTATGGGCTTTTTCAGTTATTTTGATCGTATACTCGTCATATACTCACAAAATGAGATGACGGAAAAAGATGAGGAGAGCAGCCTCTTTTGTTTCTGCAGTGTTAGCCGCAAGACCTTGCCGAGGTGGAAACAGGGCCTCTGTGCTTTGTGAGGATGGTCATGGAGCATGGTCTTTGTCCTGGGTGGGGGAAACCACCCAACGAAGTTAAAGTCTTTAGCTCGTGATTTCTATCATGGATTTACATGTGATGGTCATGCTGTCCTTCTCTTTGACCATTAATCTTGGTTACTTGCCCCAAATTTGACAAACTCCTTCCTGAGTTGGAATTATCAATAAGTGTTATTTTGTGTTAATGCTGTGAGCTGCTCAAAGCTGCTAGTTGGTGGACGTGCATCAGACTCGTGGCGCCAGGGTATCGTGGACAGATGTATGACGTTGTCTTGTTGTCCTGGGCCTCTTTGTGGAATTTGGCTCTTTGGGTTGTTGTAACACCAATCTTAAATTGTCTGATTCGCCCAATATTTATGTATTGGGTAGGGTTAAGGGATCCAGAATATGATCATGCATTAATAGTTGAACACAGACAAGCAAAGTGATACAAAAAGTAAAGGTTACACTTTGATAGTCCACTTTAGACATTCTACTAACTATTAGTAACTTTGCAACTACGTGCCAACTAACTTTCATTAGAGTATTAGTAGACCGTTAGGTTAGATTTGGGTTAGTAAAATAAGTTGACATGTACTTGCAAAATTACTTATAGTCAGTAGAATGTCTGAAGTGGAAGATCAAAATGAAGTGTTACTCACTATATATCCAATCAAATCACAGTAGTGGACCAGAGCTAACTTCACATACTGCACTACACCACACTACAGTCATGTCAAATTGAATCAGTTTATATAGGTTCTCTGGGACAGAGATAGCATAAGATATCTGTCATTTTAGTAGTGTTTACATACCTTTTATCAAGAATGTATCCTTCCACTTTATGCAACTCTTTTCCAAAGATGCCACACGGTTTGAAAGTCAAACGACATCTTTCCCCAGTTCTGATAAAAAGCACAGTAAAATCATTTGTGGACCTTGTATGTCTTCCATATGTGACACTGGACCACAAAACCAGTAATAAGGGTCAATTTTTCGAAATTGAGATTTATATATCATATGAAAGCTGAATAAATAAGCTTTCCATTGATGTATGGTTTGTTAGGATCGGACAATATTTGGCTGAGATACAACTATTTGAAAATCTGGAATCTGAGGGTGCAAAAAAAAATCTAAATATTGAGAAAATCATCTTTAAAGTTGTCCAAATGAAGTTCTTAGCAATGCATATTACTAATCAGAAATTAAGTTTTGATATATTTACGGTAGGAAATTTACAAATATCTTCATGGAACATGATCTTAACTTAATATCCTTATGATTTTTGCCATAAAAGAAAAATCTATAATTGTGACCCATACAATGTATTGTTGGCTATTGCTACAAATATCCCCCAGCGACTCAACACTGCTTCTGTGCTCCAGGGTCACATATTAGTTGTTCTTTTCAAACCTTAATAAAGCAACAATGATCTAATTCACATCCTTGTTTGTTGCACTTTTTTTTGTCAAATTAGAGGACAATACTTGCTCTTACTTATGATTAATAATTTCAACATTTCCATATTGCTCAATCCACAGTTGTCCCATGATAATGTTATGAACACAGCAGGTCGGGTTGGTCCAGGTGTAGGCTTCATTGTGGCTGAAAAACAACAAATTAACAATACATAAGTCAATCGTGTAGCTGAATTTACATGTAGGAAAAGTCTTGTTGACCTCTCATACAGTATGTTGAATGAACACATGCTCCACGTGTTTACTGCTGTACATGTAAGGCAGTGAATGACTCACAGAGGAAGCTCTAGGGTGATGATTCCACGCGGTTCGGCCTCCACACACTTTCCCCAGAATTTGAGTTTTGGATAAATGGAGCCATGAAACATGAAGTTGCTCTTTATGCCCTCGGCGTGGAAGGCACTGACCGGCGGATGATGACTGACCTGCTCAGAGACCCATCTGAAGCCCAGATCCTCGCTGATGACACAAAAACACTGACAGTTCATATGAAACATTAATGTGTTCGCTCATAACTGATCAGTTGATGTGAAACACTGACCTGAGCAGCTCGTAGGTTTCTCCGAGGAGCGGGTTGAAGGGTTTTCCCGTCCTCTCCCACTGCGAGGCCACAGCTGATACAGCAAAAGCTGCCACACACTGAAAAACCAAAGAAACATGATATTACCAACAGAGTACAGTTTTTTACAATCACTAAAGCACATTTCTTAATACTTAGGTCACTTTTTCAAAACACTTCACAAAGTTCTCCTAACCAACTTTCAGCTTGGCACAGCAGTACATTTCACATTCAAAATGAACTAAAACTACCAAAACACTTCATACAGTCTCAAATCAACTCATTTTTCCATAACAGTAGCAAAGGTTTCAACCCAACAATCACTCAAAAAAAATCCCCTTTTGTATAGATGACAATTAAAGATTATGTAAACATGCAAAATTGCTCGTAGAGACCATAGAGTTTTAGTAGTGATTGTGTTTGAGCCATATCAGGTTTATTGAGTATAATTATAAATATTCAGATCTTTTGCTTATAGTCAAAATTAATTATATTTTTTTGAGCTAAAATGTCATTGATGTAATAGTTATTCAGTACTAAAATATAATGTGTGTTGTATTTAGATAAGATTACATACAATTTGCATGATGCAAATTCTGCATACTGAAGGTAATTAAACGAAAGCATATTAAATTCAGGTCTTAGCCGTAATCTATATGATTTGCACCTACCTGTTATTGTTTGACCTAAAAGACAATTTTATGAGAAATCTCTAAAATGAATATTAACCAAAGCTGAAGTTAAAGAAACTGAAGCTAATTTTCATGGTCTCTCCCATTTAAAAACATAAAATCCACGTAAAATCCAAATTCTTGTCCCCATCGTAATCATTTTAATGGCTTTGCAATGCAAACATCACTCTGGAATGCATTAATGGTACCATATGCATGTTAATATAGGCCAGGCTTAAATTCAACACTGCTTTACTCAGTAGGTCCATGCTCTATTTCTCTATTCAGCAAGGGTTTCTTGGGCTAAAAAAATAAAAATATATTTACCTTCATTCTGTGGATGGAGTCTTGTGAAGCGCTGGTCTTCTGGACGAGGTATGTGTGCTCCATGTATTCAGTCAATCTCTGAAGAAAACTCAAAGGCTCGTTAAAAATCACCGGCATTGTGATTTTAGACAGTTCCTGTGAAGATTTAAAGATGAGAATAATTGATTAACAGACTGCTTTTACATCAGAACTTTAGTCACCTTTACTCTATAGCGCTTCATAATGCATACTGTTTTGTAAAAAAGTTCATCTGTTCAGTTTAATAACTGTGCACAGTTCATGAATTATAAAACAAGTTCAGTTCAAGCAGCTCTACTGAAGACAGTAGTGTCATTATTCAGCTCAAGTCAGTTAAAAAAAATCAGCACCAGATCCACTTTACAAACCGGAGCACTGCTTACATCATGTAAACCTAACAATGCAAACATATTTATGCATATATAGCCATATTTGACTTACCATCCCAATGCATTTTTTGAGAACGCTCCACATACTGACATTGTTTCGTGAGAACATTGCAGCAGGAAGAGCTGACCTATTCCAACATGGAGAGTGAAAAACATTTCTCTATGAGTTCAGGACTGCACAGGTAATCAGAGAACACCAAATGCAAACATGTATTCCAGCCAGTATATTTAAGCAATATTGCTGTTGTTCTTAATATAAGCACTTTTTAATGTAATCACAGCCATGCTGATATTCAGATCAATAGTACGATGGCAGATGTGATACTGCTGATACACAACAGTTCAATAAACAATAAGTTCACATTGAGTAACTTTACAGTAGTTCTATCAACAAAAATCAATCAATCGCTGCATGACACAGAGCAATGCTGCAATGAGGTTAAGTATAAACCAGGCCTAACCCCGTAACCCTGTAACCAAGAAGGGAGCAGATAATGTATGCCTTAAATCACAACTTGCAGATCCATGTAAGCATCATAAGAAAGTATGTAAATTAAATCATATTTCACTAGTACAAATTATAAATGTTCCTCTTTTGGGTCTCATTGCACTGGCTTCCTGTATCTGTCCAAATTAAATTTAAGGCTACATGATGTAGGTCTACGAATGTATGAATAAATGTAAATGTAAGTGAATAAATGAAATTGTGATAGGTGAAACCAACAATGCAACACTCAATATGATATATTATTATATATATCCTTGCATCATCACTCATTTCACCAACCTGAACCTGATTAAAGATTGAAGAACCCTGGTCTAAATACTAGGAAACCAACTGTCCAACCAATTATTACTATTATTTTTTTGGTCACGATGTGGGGCCCATCATAATACAGATGCCATAGATCACGACACTCTGCTCAACAAGCTGGAGAAATGTTGTTATGCTAGTCTATTTTAGATCCTATCTTTTGGTTCACTACCACTTTGTTTGAGTGATTTAGGTCAAACCTAAAATAAATGTAATAGTATGGAGTGCCACAAGGCTCTGTCTTGGGGCTTATGTAATTATGATTGATTGATAATGTGACCATACTTCATGTAGCTAAGTAATGAAATATGGTTTTACTCAGCTAAACAACAGCTTTTAACAGCACGATTAAGCAGCAGCAACAACAATAATAATCATCTGCAAACACTGTAAACTGGCCTTTTTTATATGCAGTTTTTAAAAAAAATACACGTTTTAAAATGAGATAGGAAACCAATTCACATGAAACCAAAGGTATACCTGTGCTTTTTGACTCCATTGCACTGGGTTTTGTCACCCTGGCTACCGTCCCCTGACATGATGTCTCTGGGGCCACAGATGAAGCTGTGTCAATAGACACCAAACTGTTTACTGATCTGGCTCTAGAAAAACAGAGAAGGATGTAGGAAAAACATGGAGCTTCATGAGAAAAGAAGAACATTTGATAAATGTTATAAATATAAAGAAAAGCATAGAATGATATAGACAGACTCTGTCCAAATTAAATTTAAGGCTACATGATGTAGGTCTACGAATGTATGAATAAATGTAAATGTAAGTGAATAAATGAAATTGTGATAGGTGAAACCAACAATGCAACACTCAATATGATATATTATTATATATATCCTTGCATCATCACTCATTTCACCAACCTGAACCTGATTAAAGATTGAAGAACCCTGGTCTAAATACTAGGAAACCAACTGTCCAACCAATTATTACTATTATTTTTTTTGGTCACGATGTGGGGCCCATCATAATACAGATGCCATAGATCACGACACTCTGCTCAACAAGCTGGAGAAATGTTGTTATGCTAGTCTATTTGAGATCCTATCTTTTAGTTCACTACCACTTTGTTTGAGTGATTTAGGTCAAACCTAAAATAAATGTAATAGTATGGAGTGCCACAAGGCTCTGTCTTGGGGCTTATGTAATTATGATTGATTGATAATGTGACCATACTTCATGTAGCTAAGTAATGAAATATGGTTTTACTCAGCTAAACAACAGCTTTTAACAGCACGATTAAGCAGCAGCAACAACAATAATAATCATCTGCAAACACTGTAAACTGGCCTTTTTTATATGCAGTTTTAAAAAAAAATACACGTTTTAAAATGAGATAGGAAACCAATTCACATGAAACCAAAGGTATACCTGTGCTTTTTGACTCCATTGCACTGGGTTTTGTCACCCTGGCTACCGTCCCCTGACATGATGTCTCTGGGGCCACAGATGAAGCTGTGTCAATAGACACCAAACTGTTTACTGATCTGGCTCTAGAAAAACAGAGAAGGATGTAGGAAAAACATGGAGCTTCATGAGAAAAGAAGAACATTTGATAAATGTTATAAATATAAAGAAAAGCATAGAATGATATAGACAGACTGGCAAGACCAAAACTATGCTTTCAAAAAGCTTTATAAGCCCAAGTAGATCATAGAGAACACTGATGCCAATGTTTTGTATGATCTAATACGATGCTTTTGGGAAATGCAGCCCAGAGCTGAGAATGTGGACAATTAACAACAACAAATGGATTTGTAATACTGTTCAAATTATTTCTTGTTGTGTACATTATGTATATGGAACATATGCATTTAAGCAAACTCTACCATTGTAAAGCATATGGGATTATAAGATTATGACAGTATTAGATTCTGCAGAATGATGACATCTGTCAACAGCAAATTACTGTAAGATATACACTTACACCTTTATCAGTTTAGTTTCACTTGAATTTAATGTGTAATTCCACTTTCTCATTCTCACAGCTCATCCTGAGATGGTTTATAATGTTGCAGGTTTCTCTGGTTTCAGCACACACTGCTATTTTAAGCGTGTTTACTGTAGTTCACGATGTACTGAACATCTGTCTACTGACAGAGCCCTAAAAAAGGATCAGTGCTTAGCTATAGAACACTCTCAGAAAAAAGGTACAACAGTACTTTTTCAAAAGTAAACTTTTGTGTCTTATTTAGCCTTAAATGTGCATATTAGTACCTTAAAGGCACATACTGTATTTTGAAAGGGTACCATCACAGTAACAGGTTTTGGAACTTTTTTCTAAGTGTAAACCTTGCCTATAATAACAACTAAATTTGCTTATAATAATTGCAAGTAAATTCTACGAATGATTACAAATAAACATCAAGTAACACATACAGTATACACAAATAGTATTTTCTTGTTAAACATATTCCAATAATCTACAACTTACACCCCTCTGGTTTTTCTCACCCCTCAATATATACTTAAATATTCATGTTTTATTGTTGTTATAATTAATTTTAATCTAATTAGATAAGATTATGTTCATGTGTCTATCCTTGATGATGCCACACCTGAAACATTGATAACAATAATGCAAAAATGTAAGCAAAACTTCAAGCATAATAAAAACATCCCACTGGCTCAGTGACAAAACACAGAGAGAAACTGCACACTCAACACTTGATAAAAAAAATATAATTTATAATACAATATACATATATAATCCTGTTTTGATTAAGGTTACTGTACTCTATAGTGACATCATGACAAATGCTACTGTCACATTTACAATCACCTGACCTATCTTTACTTTCAGTGCCAGAGGACATTGTCTGATTAAATCTACTGTCCGTAGCTTCATGTGACAGTGAAATAAGTGACATGAAAGTGAAAATATCAGCAGAGAAGAGCAGAAATGTGAATGTACCTGCTTGAATGGCCTCTGCAGGAGTCACCTTGTTGTGCGTCCTGTCTGCTGTTCCTGTACGTGAGACTGTAGCTGCGTGAAATGGAGCACAGGAGAGAGACAGTGTGTGTGTGTGTGTGTGCATACATCACAGCGCATGAGTGTGTGTGTGTGTGTGTGTGTGTGTGTGCGCGTGCATGTGTTTGCAGAGCTCAACATAAAGAGGATCGGAGAGCAGCTGATCAATCTACACCTGTGCTGTGATGAAAACTCACACCAACACATACATCTATGTGCTACCTGAACTATTAATAATAATGCAATCCTTTTATACAGTACTTATCAGCATTTCTACATAGTGTCTGTAATAAATGTGATTGTTACCTCAATAACTGTATTTCCACTGCACACTAACATCACAGGACTCAAATTACAATGTATAGACTGTGTGGACATGTGCTGTCTCCTGGCCTTGTTAAGAGATGAATAAGTAAACATAACTGAATATGATTAACAATTTATATTAATACAATATATATTGTTACCTCAATAACTGTATTTCCACTGCACACTAACATCACAAGACTCAAATTACAATGTATAGACTGTGTGGACATGTGCTGTCTCCTGGCCTTGTTAAGAGATGAATAAGTAAACATAACTGAATATGATTAACAATTTATATTAATACAATATATTAATATATTAAATGTAGATGGATGGATGGATGGATGGATGGATGGATGGATGGATGGATGGATAGATAGATAGATAGATAGATAGATAGATAGATAGATAGATAGATAGATAGATAGATAGATAGATAGATAGATAGATAGATAGATAGATAGATAGATAGTCATAGCTGAAGTGTGGAAGTGATTATGAAGGGCGTAATGGAACAATACTGCTCACCATACACTGAGCCGTCTTAAGAAGCTTTACTCCTCTTTAACAGAGTAAGCACCCTTCAGAAACACTCTCATTCATCTGATTGCCATTCATTATATCCAGACAACTGCATAATGCAAAACAAAACTCTAGCTCCGGTGGAACTGCCTCAAGCCCTTATTAGCACACATTTATAAGGTGTTGAACCCAATAATCACATTCTATTCACTCTATATCTAGACAAACAGTCTTCATTTTCTTCATCAATTTAAACGTTTATACTTTCTTGTCAGCACAATTAGAACAGCTTAGCCTACTTGCTTAGCATAGTGCTAACTGATTATGAAATAAAAATTAGATTAGCTAGAAGATAAGAAAACACACTGACAAAATATGAAGGCTATAGTTTGTCTCACAATCTCACAAAAAAGTACATTTCTGATACAGGCTATAATTCGCTATAATTGAATTACCCGATTAAACCTGTATCTTAGATTTAAACCAAGATGTCTTACATATAGCCCAGTCCTGAACTGTTTACTGTGGATTTACAACTTGCTTTCTCTTCTGAAAATATCATATAATACAAAAGCTCAGATAATTGACTTGACTATTGAATTTATTTTTATTCATAACTTGTCATTTATTTTTCTTTTATGATCCATTCCCTTGTTATTCCATAGCATTCTATGATCCATTCTGCTGTTATTGAAAAAAAATAGAAATTAGTAAACCACTCCACTGGGTCTTCCGGTTTGATCACATGAACAAGAAGAGCCTATATATGTAAGAGATGAAAGATTTAGAAACTAACATAAAAATGATCTTCGTTTGCATTATCATGATGTCCTAATTCCAAATATGATAAAATATTTTGTATGTGGGCATGCTGAGGCAATTTGGCTATTGGAAATATAACATTATAATTTAACTCCAAGTTATCAAACTGATCCCATCCTCCCATTGCTAAAAATGTAGGCCTAAGACAAACAAATGTTTTATGATTTATTTATCATTATGAAACATACAAGGTGGGAAAGAATAAAGTAAGAAAAACAAATAATTCAAACAATAAAAGTAATGTTAAACTAAAAATAATACATACTGTATATGGACAAAGGTATTGGAACACGCCTCTTAATTACTGAATTCAAGTATTTCAATCAAACCCATTGCCTCAGGTGTATAAAATCAAGTACCAAGCCACGCAGTCTGCATTACAAACATTTGTGGGGAAAAAAGGGTCATTCTGAAGAGCACAGTAAATTCAAACATGGTAGGATGCCACCTTTGCAATATGTCTGTTTGTGAAATTTCTTTCCTGCTAGATATCAGTCAACTGTAATGGTATTATTGAAAAGTGGAAGCATTTAGGAACAGCAGCAGAAGCGGAAGGCCATGTAAAGTAACAAAGCATGTCACCGAGTGCTGAGACGCATTGTGCGTAAAAGTCACAAACAAAACAACACACATATTGATAACAGTATTGTTTGTCCTTTATTACGCACCAGTCCAAAAAATGCCAGTTCTCGACTCCCATTGGAAGAAATTGCGTTCTGTGGGGCCCCACGCAATTGCATGGGTTTCGTGGTGCCTAAACACGCTACTGGGGGCCTTGTGAAAACAACGGTGATCTGACGACTTTGAAAATCATGCAGTGTGAACTCGGCATAAGAGACAGATAGAAATTGCATAGAGCGGTGGGTCTCCAGCACTAGAGTTGAGAACCACTGGTGTAAAGCACACTGCTACTGGACTCTGGAGCAGTGGAAACCTGTTTTGTGCAATGAAAAATCTTGCTTCTCTGTTTGGCAGTCTGAGGGGCAAGTCTGGGTTTGGCAGTACTAGTACAATATTACTTGTCTGACCACATTGTGCCAACTGTAAAGTTTGGCGTATTATTGAAAAGTGGAAGCATTTAGGAACAGCAGCAGAAGCGGAAGGCCATGTAAAGTAACAAAGCATGTCACCGAGTGCTGAGACGCATTGTGCGTAAAAGTCACAAACAAAACAACACACATATTGATAACAGTATTGTTTGTCCTTTATTACGCACCGGTCCAAAAAATGCCAGTTCTCGACTCCCATTGGAAGAAATTGCGTTCTGTGGGGCCCCACGCAATTGCATGGGTTTGCCTAAACACGCTACTGGGGGCCTTGTGAAAACAACGGTGATCTGACGACTTTGAAAATCATACAGTGTGAACTCGGCAAAAGAGACAGATAGAAATTGCATAGAGCGGTGGGTCTCCAGCACTAGAGTTGAGAACCACTGGTGTAAAGCACACTGCTACTGGACTCTGGAGCAGTGGAAACCTGTTTTGTGCAATGAAAAATCTTGCTTCTCTGTTTGGCAGTCTGAGGGGCAAGTCTGGGTTTGGCAGTACTAGTACAATATTACTTGTCTGACCACATTGTGCCAACTGTAAAGTTTGGCGGAGGAGGGATAATGGTACTGGGCTGTGGTTCTGGGGTTGGGCCCCTTAGTTCCAGTGAAGATAAATCTTAATGCTTCAGCATACTGAGACGTTTTGTGGGAACAGTTTGGGGATGGCCCTTTTCTATTCCAGCATGACTGTGTCCCAGTGAACAAAAAAGGTCCATAAAGACATGGTTGGATGAGTTTGGTGTAGAAGAACTTGACTGGCCTGCACAGAGTCCTGTCTTCAACCCCATTCAACATCTTTGGGATGAAATGCAAAGGAGATTGCAAGCCTCCTCGTCCAACATCGTCCAATTGGATGAATGGGCAGAAATGAACTCAAAAACTCAAAAAACTTATCGGAAGACCTTCCCAGAAGAGTGGAAGCTGTTATAGCTGCAATAGGGGCACCAACTCCATATGTCTATGTATTTAGAATGCAACGTCATTAAAGACCCTGTTGGTGTAACAGTCAGGTTTTATTCATACTGTATAGTGTATGTCATCTGGATGATGATGCAAAAATAGAATACTGCAGTAATTAGAAAAATAATAATACAAATAAAATAAAAAAATTCTTCAACCCCATTCAACATCTTTGGGATGAAATGCAAAGGAGATTGCAAGCCTCCTCGTCCAACATCGTCCAATTGGATGAATGGGCAGAAATGAACACAAAAACTCAAAGAACTTATCGGAAGACCTTCCCAGAAGAGTGGAAGCTGTTATAGCTGCAATAGGGGCACCAACTCCATATGTCTATGTATTTAGAATGCAATGTCATTAAAGACCCTGCTGGTGTAACAGTCAGGTTTTATTCATACTGTATAGTGTATGTCATCTGGATGATGATGCAAAAATAGAATACTGCAGTAATTAGAAAAATAATAATACAAATAAAATAAAAAAATAAAATCAAACATCGTGTGTGACATTTTGTTGTTGATCTGTTTCTCCTTAGATAAGGTTGTTCACATAGGGTTGGGTCAGAGTCCACCTTGTCGAGTCCAAGTTGAGACCTAGTCATTAACAACTGTGTTTGAGTGGGAGACGTTTAATAATGTCTTTTTATCATAATTATGTTCCATCCAAGTCCACCCGAGTCCATTCATAATTGCATAATTCCAAATACCAACCAAGTCCAAGTACCTCAACTCTGTTGTTCAGTCTAGCACAGAGAAACTGGGGAACCATAATAAACCCCAAACCCAGCATAGACGGGTTCAGTGAACGTGGTGTTGAACGTGTGTATGTGTGTGAGTGTGTGTGCGTCAGAGACGCTGTAGAAGGACAGAGTACCAGCAGACCAGTCCAGATACACACCTACTCGATTAGAGGATGAAGGGGTTGATATCTCAGTGCTGTCATTATTGTGACAGACAGTGAGTCTGTTATAAAAACTGCTCAGATTCCAGGACTTTTGATTGAATCCAAACCTGCAGTCACTTCCTCCTTTCCTGCTGATATCTTTGTATGTCATTGATATTTCTGTCCCTCTCCCGCTCCATTCAGCCTCCCAGTAACAGCGTCCAGTCAGACTCTCTCCACACAGAACCTGAGGATGGTGCTCAAATCTCTCTGGATGATCAGGATACGACTGCAGCTCTTCCACATATGTTGCCTTTCTGTTTCCCTCAGACAGAATCAGATGGGTGTTTACTGTGTTTGGATCTAGTGTGAGACTACAGGCATCTGAACACACAAAGAACGAGAGAGAAAGAGAGAAGCATTTGAAGAGCTCATTTAACACCACGTTTAAAAAAATTAACTGATTGCAATGTGTTATTCTCTACATATAGCACGTTCTGAACCCTAAACACGTTTTTTAATAAAAGCCGGTTTTGTCCACTGTCAAGGCATTGCAAGTTCAGGTTTTACAGCAGAAACCAACAAGCGCCCTTCTCGTTTGTGAACAGATCCCAATAAGTCCATTTTAGCGAATCAGCACGCAGTATTGAGGTCAGGTGACAAGGCTGCTAGTCACTTTAGAAAAGACTATCTATCTATCTATTACAAATGAAAAATTATCTCTACTTGACTAGCAGAGTATTCATTTTGTTTGTTTGTTTAAAATAAGTGGTGATCTGTCGCTTACACGTATTGCTTTTAAAATCATGCTGAATGATCGTTGCTGCTGTTATCAGTGCCGGTGTTGTGCCGAATTCTGCACCCCTGCCAGATTATGCACCTCCTCGTTGAAATCACTACCTGATTGCCTAATCCTAACCCCTCCCCCATACCTACTCCTAAACCTACCAATACTAGGGGGTGCATAATCTGGCAGGGTGCAGAATTTGGCACAACACCTGTTGCCAAGTGCTTCGTGCACAGACAAGTGCTTCAATCTATTGCTAACTGTTGTGGAGACTTTCAATTCATTTAGGTGAAATCACAAAATAAAATGCACACAAATCATCCCTGATGAACACATTTGGTTTTAATGAGCGGAAAAAAATATACTAGTGCGGATTAGAACCCCAAGTATCGCTATCTTAGCAATTACAAAGTAATTACTTGGTTTTGTTTACCTCTGAAACATGAAATGTGGAGTTATCTGCTTTTGCCAAAAAAAAAAAAAAAAACTGTTGGAGTTATCTGTTTTTGCTAAAAGAAAAAAAAAGTTTAATATATATATAAAAACACACTTTCAATTAACTTTAATTTTGTAAGTTACCTGTATTATATATATATA